CTGGTGAGAGTAAAATTAGAAGCCCACATGAATCCTCTTTTCAGATATTTAAAAAAAAATGAGTGTTTCAAGTTGTATTTGCAAAGTGAGAGGTGAACTTCAACAATGCTCTAGTATTTGGGAAACAGACAAAATACAAGTGTTTGTTGAAGGGATATATTTACTGGAAGGATTTCTCACCTGTGCATAAGGTAAAGCTCATTGTTATTTGAAGGACCATCAGTAGACTGAGCCTACAGGATTTAAATAATTATTACATTTTGGCAGATATTATACTATGCTACTTTTCCTTTTCTACTGAACTGGCTATCCTCTCCCACAGAGCTCTGTAATGTTCAGCGTGGCTTACTTTATTCCTGTACCCATTCAACATGGTTCTTACTGAGAATGAATGAACACATGGGATAAAGGAAAACATGCATTTTATAACCTGGTATTTGAAATAGAACTCTCTCTTTGTTTCTGAACATAGACCATATAGGCTAATTTTACAGCACTCAGAGGTGATGAGAGTAGTTGAAACACGTTTTATCTGGTTGGAATTGTGTTCTCCAGGCAGTGTTGATGTATAATCTATCTACTGAGTAAGCCCCTGGCTTTACCCAGGGTCTCTCTCTCGAGGATAGCTTTCCTCATATCTGTATTCTGCACAAAGCATCTCCCGTCATAACTTGTCACTGTTAATCTAAAAATAGAAATGTCCCGGTGCAGTTCTCATCTTGACCCTGTGTTTGCTCAGTGCCTTTTCTGGATCGGTTTCCTGGCTTCTGAATGCTAAGGGCTTTGCATTCTCCCTTCACCTCCTGACACAGAGTTAAACACAGCACGAAATGATCACCAAAAAGATGCGCTGATTTTATTTGCTTTCTGCAACTTGAATAGACTCTTAAAAGACCAGACAGAGTTCCAGAGATACTCTCATGGCAGAACTATTACAAATAATTTTGAATTTTTAATTATTTAAAAACATGTTGAAATTATTTTTTAAATAAATTTTAAAATTATTTTTAACACTCCAGTACACAGAGAGATATTTTTAGGCTTAGAGGAAATTGCTTAGTCCAGACAACACTGCTATGTAAATCATGAAGAATCCCAAAATGTGTTTATCAGTTATGTCTTCAAGTATTCCTTCCTCACCCTTCCCTCTTCCTAGACATCTTCTAGAAATCCCATTATGCCATGATGGTGTGGTTCACGGTGGCCCATAAGGCTTGAAGTTTAATGTATTTGTTTTGTTTTGTTTGGGGGCCACATCCAATGGTGCTCAGATTCTGGCTCTGCACTCAGGAGTCACTCCTGGCAGTGCTCAGGGGATTATATAAGATATTGAGGATTGGCCCAGGTCGGCCACATGCAAGGCAAGCGCCTTACCTGCTGTACTATCTCTCTGTCTCAAGATTCAGTACATTTTCTATCATTAATCTCTCTTCCTCTTCCTCAGAAATAATCTTCCCCATTGACCTCATGTCTTCATGCCCCCAGCTCTCTCTTCTTCCAGCTTCGCATCTGCTACTGAGTCCCTCTTGTGTGCTTTCTTTTCTTTCCTGTACTTTTCAACTTCAGGTTTTTATTTTTATAGGTTGATTTAACTTTCCTATGAAGTATGATTAACCGCTAAGTGTGGCTAAGAAGACGGACGCTGTGGTACTCTCAGAAGGACTGAACTCATTTGTGGAATATGAAAAAACAGAATATGAGACTGACACCCAGGGACGGTAGACACAAAGGCCAGGAAGATTTCCCCATAGTTGGAAGCCTGCCTCATGAGCTGGGGAGAAGTCATCTGGATTAGAGAAGGGATCACTAAGTCAGTGATAGTTGGAGGGATCGTTTGGGATGGGAGATGTGCGCTGAAAGTGGATAAAGGACCAAACATGGTGGCCTCTCAGTCAGTATCTGTATTGCAAACCATAATGCCCAAAAGTAGAGAGTGAGTATGGGGGAAATTGTCTGCCCTAGAGGCAGGGGGAGGGTTGGAAAGGGGAGTATACTGGGGACATTGGTAATAGAGAATGTGCACTGGTGGAGGGATGGGTGTTCGATCATTGTATGACTGAAACTCAAACATGACAGCTTTGTAACTATATCTTACGGTGATTCAATTTTTTAAAAATGCAGGAACTTGTCATTTGTCCACAGTGCCAAGATAAAGGACATATCTGACCCCACCACTTCTTGGCATGAGCCACTTTTCCACTCCCAGGTCTGGAATTTATCTGCATTAGGAATGGTAAAGTTCCTCTTCTTAGAGATGTGGATCTCCTGGAACCCAGGGAACATGACCGTGGTCCAGTAAAGAGCTCTTTGATCTGTAGCTTGGTGCAGATGGACATGATAGCATGGTCAATGGAGATATTGGCCACCTCACCCTGGGCTGCCCAGAGGTACAAGACACTTGTCTGGAGCCCAGGATTAGAGACAGCATAAGAACAGGCTTGAATGTCCACCAGAAAGAGCTGTCTGCAGAATCCACTACGACCACCCATAGAGTGACATGCTATCCACACTCCAGGGAAGTGGTTATTTGCAACCACTGCACACTGTAATTTCTGTTTTTTTATTGGTGCTCTCTGTTTGGTGAGATATAACTCTCATTATTTCCTTTAGTTCCCTATACATGTCTTCCTCTAGTACTTTGAACATATTTATAACAATGGGTATAAAGTCTTTGTCCACTGAGCCCAATGTCTGGTGCCAAGGAGAATTTCTATATATTACTTTTCTTCCTGGGTGAGGGTCATACTTCTTGTCTCTTTGCACGAATTTTTTAGTGACTTTCTGCCAATTCTGTGAGATCTTATGTACGGTTAATGTATGATCCTTGAAGTCTGTGCTCTGCGCTCTTAGAGATCTATTTACTCGTGATTGGACAGAAACAGTTCTAAATGTCCGGGACCATTACAGATCCCAGTGTTCACCAAACAACTTGACAATGTAAGACCTGGCTTCAAAACTCAGGCAGGCACTTGACAACTCTGCCTTTACTTTTACTTCCCACTTCTTCAGAACCCCAGAGTCATCCAGAGGTGAAACCGCAGAGTTTTCTCAGGGATAAATCCAAGTTCTTCAACACCCCCCCCCCGTGTTATCATTCTCTAGCTTGTTGATTTGTTGACTTTTTTAAATTTTAATTTTGCTATTATTATTGTTGACGGGCTGGAGCGATAGCACAGCGGGTAGGGCGTTCGCCTTACAAGCGGCCAACATGGCCGACCCGAGTTCGATTCCTCCGCCCCTCTCGGAGAGCCTGGCAAGCTACCAAGAGTATTGGATATGCCAGACACAGTAACAACAAAGTCTCCAATGGAGACGTTACTGGGCCCGTTCGAGCAAATCGACGATCAACGGGAGGGCCTTTACCTTTACCTTTATTGTTGACAATTTTCTGTTCTTCACAACTCTTATCACTTGCAGCCCAAGCTGCTTCAATACCAAACAGTTGTCACTGGCTTTGGCTGTTGTTGTGGTTTGGTTTGGGGGCCACACCTGGCGGTGCTCAGGGCTTCCTCCGGGCTCTATGCTCAGGGATCACTTCTAGAGGGGCTTGTGGGATTAGATGCGTCCCACAGGGGGTGGAATCTAACAAGGGACGCTCCCTACCCTCTATACTGAGCCTCTGGTCCTGGTGATGTTGTTTTGCTGAACCCAAGGGAAAGGTTATCTGCATAGCATGTATTCTATAGCATGTCAGCCAAACACAAACCTTGTAAGAGACGAGCTTCAGGGAATGCCAGGCTAAGACGGCATTCCGGGATGCTAGGCTTTGAAAGAGTCTCTAACCCTGCTCTGCCCAGCCTCCAGTACTTGTTAACTCACTGGTTTTCATCATGATTTCAGCTGTTGGCTTTCAAGACTCCCATGAATCCATGAAATTGATTGGGGCTAAATTGGGAAGGGAGAGGGGTAAATTTATTTTTTTGTAGTCTAACAATAATTATTTTTTTTTAATTTTTATTAATGAGACACCATGAGGTACAGTTGTAGACTTACAAATTTTGTGCTTGGGTTTCAATTATACAATGATCAAATACCCATCCCTCCACCAGTGCCCATTTCCCACCACCACAGATCCCAGTATCCCTCCCAACCCCCATACCCCCCATCCCACCCTGCCTCTGTGGCAAGACATTTGAGAGGGGTAAATTTAAAGATATGAAAGGCTTAGAGTTTTTAACCGAGAGTCAGACATTTTGCTTGGCAGACTTACTAAATTTCTATTTAAGTGATAGAATGCACATCCCACCTGGGAGAGGCCGTGGACCTGATCCCTAACAAGGAAAGCAAGAACTGGTCCTTTGGCGCCAGATCAGTGCTGGTTTTGTGAAGGAGCTTCCTCTCGAGAGATTTCCCTTGGCTGCACCCGTCCCACCTTCCTACCCATACACCAAACGTCCCTGGGCCATTTCCGCACTGACCCTCAAGTCCATTAGACTTTAATTCTTGCATGTTTCTTTCCTGGTTCTATCTAGTTAAAGTCTTATGGTACTGTACAGTTGGACTGTCGACCCCACTGGGTCCAGGAAATGTGAGCTCAGGTGTCCGATGTCATTGGTGGGGGGAAGAGAAGGAAGGAGGGGATCATAAGGGGAAACCAGCTTCAAGGCTCTGCGTGAACCAAACCAGGGCCAAAGTGCATGACAAAGTGCATCGGATGCGGGGCTCAAGCATCCCTCACCATAGCCCCCAAGGCCCGAGTCACGAGCCCAGGCTTCTTCCGCAGCAGAATCCGGACGTGGTCCAGACGCAGCACGCTTAGAAGCGTGCACCTGGGTGTCTCTGGAGCGGGGCGAGGTGACTTGGAGCGATCCAAAATTCTCACCCCGCCCTCTCTGGGGCCTACTCGTTGACCTGGGTCCCTCCAGCGCACATCCAGACACACCTGTGCGCGCACAAGCGTCCGTCACGGAACGCGCCCCCTGCAGGACACGGGGTGAACAGCCGGCCAGCCCCGCCCCGCCTTAGCCACACTGACGCCTCCTGTTCTCTCCTTCCCGCAGGGATGACCTGCCAGGCGCGGAGCTCCTACATCACCAGTGAGATCCTGTGGGGTTACCGGTTCACGCCCGTGCTCACGCTGGAGGACGGCTTCTACGAAGTGGACTACAACAGCTTCCACGAGACCTACGAGACCAGCACCCCATCCCTCAGTGCCAAAGAGCTGGCCGAGCTGGCCAGCAGGGCCGAGCTGCCCCTGAGTTGGTCTGTGTCCAGCAAGCTGAATCAGCACGCGGAACTGGAGACGGAGGAGGAGGAGAAGAACCTGGAAGAGCAGACAGAGAGGAATGGTGACGTGGCCAACCTAGAGAACGAATCCAAAGTGTAACCCCACCACCCCCTACCACCACCACCACACCCACCACCTTCCCCTGCACTGGACAACTCCTTCTCCTCTTTCCCGGTCTCTCATCCTCTTCTCTGTCTCTTTTAACTCCGTTCTTCCTTTGTTTCTCTTTCATCTCGGCATCCTCAGAAAACAGGTCTCCAAGGTGTAAAATATCTACCTGCCCTGGCTCAGTTCTTTGGATTGACAAGGTAGACACGGATTCGGTTAAGGTGTCCAAGTTGGTCTCCCTAAACACCACCTGCCCAACTCCTAGAGATTTTGAGCTTCTGTTGTCCAGTACCAGATCACTCAAGAGAGCGTGTGTGAGATTCGACCCGGGACAAGACAAGTGCAGTCTCCGGTTCCTATTCATCAACCAGTGAGACATAGGCCGGCCTCTTGCTGGTCTAGATCCCGGTGAATCTCATACCCAGGGCCAGGTGCAAGCCCGAAGTGCAAGCCTGAAGCGGGCAGTGCACTTCTAGCCCAGGTGAGCTAAAGGTAACACCCTGTACATATCTATGCCTTATGTCCTTTTTTTTCTGCAGTTAATAAAATCCAGCATGTACAAAAAAAAAGACTGTAGAACAGAACTTCTAAATATTGTACATAGGTGTATCATTCATATAGGTTTAGATACATACCTTTAGAATAAGAAGCAAAAAATAAAAATAAACCCAAGTCCCCATATGCAGTAGGCATTTCTGTTCTGACGTCCGTGTTGCTGAGTTTCTCTGTTTCCGCTGGCCCTTGACTGCATGGCCTTTGTTCCGTGTTTCTTCCCAACAGCCCTTCCGGAACCTCACTGTTCCCGTGCTGACCCTTCCCTAAATCAAATAAGCCATAGTCTGGGAGAAGTTGGGGACGGGGATCCAGGAGATAGCAAAACCCACCATCCACACGCTGATAAACTGTGAAATGTTTACACATTGAGGTTCCTGAGGCAAGGACCTCACTGCCTAATTGGGGAGCGAACTCCCAGAGTGAGGGACTCTGTGGCATGTCACCCATGAGGTTTTTGCTTCCCTCTATAGAACAGTAGCATGGGGTCAGAGCGATAGCACAGTGGGGAGGGCATTTGCCTTGCACACAGCCGACCTGGGTTGGATCCCTGGCACCCCATATGGTCCCCCGAGCACCACCAGGAGTAATTCCTGAGTGCAGAACCAGGAGTAACCCTGAGCATTGCTGGGTGTGACCCAAAAAAAGCCAAAAAAAAAAAAAAAAGCGTGTCCAGCTGTTCTACAAGGTCTGTGCTTCTCCTGATCTTCCGTTCTATAATCCCAGATGTGGCAAGTGTTCAAAGTGAGGCAGGGTAAGTGGACAGAAACTGTTTGGAATCTAATGCCATACATTCAGGAAGGCAAGAATCTACTGACTCCATTGGGCCAGTGCTTTTCCTGACCCTGAGGGCTAATCCATCTGCACTGCTCGCATTAGCACTTATTCTTGTCTTGTGCTGTTCGGAAATGATCGAGGTTTTATATTTAAACAGGCAACCTTGGTGACCGTCAAAGAACTCTCCCTCTGAGAATGCCACAGGTTAGAGAGCCAATCAAACCCAAAGTGTCTCTCGGTCAAAGGAAAACAAAAATCTACAGCCTTAATTCACTTTAATTTGAAAAAAAATAATAATAAGGTGGGAAGGAAGAAAGGGAAGGAAGGGCATTTTTGTATTAAAAAGGTAAATTTTAACATGGAAAATAAATCCAAATGAAAAAAATCAAGAAAACGCAAAGAATCTTAGCCAAAACGTCAAGGGCAGGTGGAGATTTTGCACTGTCTCAGCTCTTTCCCGTTACTTTTGCATTATAAGCCGCTTGTTCCCTGGCATCGTCCCTCATCATAAATACTCACTGACTAGCTCCAGGCTCATTCTCCACTACCCCAGCTGTGCTCAGTTTGAGACTTCTCGCCGCGGCAATGAAAGCTCTCAAACTAGCTTCCCCGGCCCAGTGTCCTTGCCTGCCCCGTCCAGATGGAAGAGGTCTTTCCTGTTGTCTGGGGACCTTGTCTGCTGAAGAGCATGTCCCCGAGACAAAGAAAGTGATTCTGTTATTCCTCCTGGTGTGGGGCGGGCAGGGAGGTCTCTCTTCTTCCCCTTCCCGAGACTTCATCAGGAGAACTGCTTCTTGGCACAGACGTTACGGAAACAAAACTGTTGGTCCAAGCCCTTTCCTTTCTGCCAACATCTCACTTTTTGCATTGAGCATCTGTTGGATCGTTTCTTCATTCCACACACTCTAAGGAGGAGGTCGTGGTGGGTCAGGAGGAAGAAGCTCCCTGCGGGGCAGTGGGAGAGACTGTGGCCTTACCTTGCTGTAGCCTTATGGAGGGGAGGGGTCTAACCCGGGGGCGTGCCACCTGCAGTAGTGCCAGAGTCACTCTAGCAAGGCATGGTAGCACAAAGCCAGACAAAGCAGGGGCTGGAGAAGCCTGACGAGTTAGCTCTTGAGGGTGCATTGGGCCTCTTGGAATCCATTACTAAGGCTTAAAAAGCAACAAGCCCTGCTGTTTGCTTAAGAGCAAAGCTCCAGACCTTTACCACAACCGAGGTGGGGGAGGGGAGAGCCTGGACAAGCCTGGGGTCTCTGACACACATCAGTTCTCTACCCCTGACAGACCCCTTGGCTGTGGGGTCTCTCCCGGCTTCTTGCTGTCTTTGGAATCTACGTAGTTAGAGACAGAAAATGAACCAAATCTCGTTTTTGTAATGTGAGCCTCTGAATCTTTAAAGGAGGATCCAGAACCTTTTGCTAGAATGTCCCTATCAAACATGTCTATTTTTCTACAGTTATTGATAACACAATTTAGCAGTGTATTTTGTGTCAACTGTTAAAATTTGGAAGTGAAAGGAGCACCTGAAGACTGGACTTCCTAAGCAGCCAGGATTGGGCGGTGTTTTTCGTTAAGATAGTTCGACAAAGAGGACCCCACAATTTCTCCCCCTTTCTCCTCCACGTTATTCAGTCCTCCCTCCCTCAGTCACTTTGCTCACAGACAGAGTGCTACGAAAAAAAAAAAATGAGCCTATCCCTATGCCACAGTACCAGTCACTGAGGAGGGTCACGCTCAACTTCCTATTTTAAATCCAACATGGCAAGAACCATTTAGCCAGCAAAAAACTTTGACCGGAAGGTTTATGGTTTACCACAGTTGACCCCAATCTGGTTGGTTGTGGTTGTGGTTGTTTTTAAAGGACACTTATTGGAAGCATAATCTCCCCAAGGGCTGCTGAGACCCTTAAAGTCTCATCCCTGCCCACCTCTACATGCTTTCCCAATGGAAGAATACCTTTGTGTTTATAAGCTAACTTGATGTAACTAATAAAAATGTTAATGTTTTTAGTCATCCCTGAAGCCACACTCTCTGGGATCAACACGTATGTGATCACTGTAATGTCAACTCATTTCTCCCAAACGTGGCACCCCAGACTGGCTAATGCAACCAAGAGCCACTCTACGACCATAGCAGAAATGCTGTCCCCCTTGCCCCAACCCTTCATCTGCCCCGCCCTTTGGCTCTTTCCCTGGTCTCCAACTCCAGACACACTGATTCTCTCTAATATCTTACGTGCCCTAACAGAAATCCAGCTACTGTCTCTAAAATGTCAACCTGTTTCTTAAGCACAATATTCTCTTGCAGGTTTAACCAAACCAGGACTCTGAAATGTCTCCTTTTTTCTCATTACCCTCTGATTAAAAGTTACTTCTGACTGCATTTAAAAACTGAAATGTGGACGTCTCCAATGCAGCAGCTTTGTGGGTTTCCTCTCTCAATGTTCTGACCTTCCAGGTCCCCAACTCCTCCCCCTTTGATTTCTTATGTGGATTCAAATCAACATCTCTGGGATACTGAGAAACCATTTTAACGGTGGGTCTGGTGACAGAGAAAGAGATCATTTAAGAAGGGTCTTAGAAAAACTCTCTGAACATACCCAAAGAATGGGAGCTGATTTGATTAGCTAAGGTATTTGATATTTTTTAAATTAAAATATGCATAGTTATTTCCATGCTAGCTTTCTAATAGTCTGATAGTTTTCCTTTTTTTTTTTTTTCTTTTTGGGTCACACCTGGACATGCACAGGAGTTACTCCTGGTTCTGCACTCAGAAATCACCCCTGGCGGTGCTCAGGGAACCATATGTGATGCTAGGAATCGAACCTGGGTCGGCCGCGTGCAAGGCAAATGCCCTACCTGCTGTGCTATTGCTCCAGCCCCACTGATAGTTCTCTTGACTTTAGTAAAACTCTGTATGATTCAGAGAAGGTTTTTTTTTTCCATTTTGTTTTTTTTTTAAAAAAAAGGGTGGAGGAATTGAATGGACCAGAGTGATAGTACAGCAGGTAGGGCATTTGCCTTGAACGTGTCCAACCCAGGTTCAATCCCTGGCACCCCATATGGTCCCATAAGCACCACCAGGTGTGGTCCCAAAAATAAAAACAAAAAGCAAAATTTAAGGAGATGAAAATTATGTATCCAACATAAATGATAAGCATGACTTTCTAGATTTCCTTTTAGTGGATGGCTTAAAGAGGAAATACTTGGCCAACATACACAAATGACTCTTTGACATTGCATTACAATCAGCAAAAAGTATTATCATATTTCTTAAGAAAACCTAACCTTCTATTTAGAACTAAGTAAAACACAGCTCTTGCTGAAATTCCTGTCCTCAGTGCCCTGGGGAGTTTGGGATGTAATCTGTCATCTGAAAACCAAATACCCTTCCAGGCTCTGGCTGTGGCCAAAGCACACGGCATACAATAACAACAAAACAATAGCATGCCTTGCTGTGGGGGGTGTTTTGGAGCCTCCAAAGAACAAATGATCCTATTTCATTCCGATTCATCATTAGAACTTGAGCATTCTCCTTTACGTTCTGTTGAGGGAAAGGTAAGATTTGGGCAACTGGAGTAAGGTTGCCCAGGGTCACCGGGTCAGTCAGCAAGTCACAGATCCTGGCCTGACCCACAGGTGCCAAGGGTGGAAGCCAGGGACATGATTCCCACTCAAAGTTTTCTCACCTCTTTTGGGTTGCTGAACCTGACGTGTTTACAGAATCTCACCCACTTCCTGGCTGAGACACTGCTTGCAAGCTCAGCCTTAGTTTCATAAGTTTAAATGGCAGAGAGAGAAAAACTAGGAAGATTATTTTGTGATGTGAAAAATAGATAAAATTCAAATCACCTTAATCATAAATAAAATTTTGGAAACATTCATGCCTATTCATTTGGGGGCCTATGGGTGCTGTCACATCACAAGAAAGGAGCTAAGTAATTAAAACTAAGACCCCCATGGACAAAAAGAAAATGAAAATATTTCCTATCTGGTCTTTTACAGGGAAAACTTGCTAGCACTCCTTCTGTGGCATTATGGGCCATCAGTACCCTTAAGAACTATTGCTTAGTAAGTATTGTGCTGTGCTGTTAAGAGGTTGCTGGCAGCTTTTAATGATGATGTTCTTTTCCAGTATAAATTGAACGGAGTTGCTCGTAGTTTTATTCAATGAAAGAATAACACATTTTCAGGTCAAAGAGATCACTGCTTCCTAGGACTTTGGAAGCCCAGTCATAGAAAGACTTCTTCCTTTCCCAGAATCATTCCCCAGAGTGATAAACATCCTTCTTCCTTTCCCAGAATTATTCCCAGGGTGATAAACATCCAGCCAAC